GTCTTCAATGATACACAATTACCGACACAATAGGCCTCCTTTAAGGCCACAAACTCGTTTCCGAATCAAAATTTTTTCCTTGGTAGGAAGGTTCTCTGTTTAAAGTCTAGGGATGGTCGCCAAAATGTTCTTTTAGAAGGTCGATAAGCCGTCTAAGTAGCCCATAACTAAGGAAAAACTAACACGTTTTTTCGTGTTCAACGAGGTGGTAGGACTCAACACTTAGGTTCAAGAACCAAGAATGCTTACATCATGCGTGTGATGAACGTAATATTGCCCAAACTTATGCTCTGATACCAAACTGACACACCCCGACCCGGAATGTCCACCTAGGCTCCGAATCTAGCTATGATGGCTGACACCAGGAGGGTGACGAAGCCATAAAGTGTAGTGATGTGGAAATGTGGGTAAATTTCAACCTAAAGGTGCCTAAATGTAAGAGTGTGCTTGTGAGTGGTGATGTCAAAGCATAAGTAAAGTACATTAAAGTAGGATGAGAATTATACCATCAGTAGTATTCCCACAACAACATTTTGCCAGAAATCCTCGTTGACATGAAAGATCTGCCACTAATACCTGGAGGGGCGAAAAATAAGGGTAAGTGGGCCTAAAAATAAAGTTTTCTAAAAACCTTTTTGAAAACATTATAAACCCTCACCGTAAAACAAGTATAGTTTCCAAAATATACATACTACATATAGTCTGAAAATACTTACCATAGCCTGCAATATCTCAAGAATTTAATGCATCACAAAATTTGTAAATAGGCATATAACTTCAGTAATCACAATATCTCACAGAAATAAACATATCACATCGAGTGTGCTCATCGACATATGCTAACACACGAGTTCATGCAGAGGTATTCTAACATGAACATGACTAGATGTAATAATGATTTACGCTCTAGTACTACAATCACGTGAAGATTGGAACTATGCACATCACATACGAGTCCTAATTACCTCTAGCAACCTAGGACATGACTGGCACCTACAATGGATCCAAAGTGAGCGTATGGTGCGATGTGAACATACACATGAAAGACTAGCCCTGGCCCGAGCAAGTACTAACACCAGTGCAGCACACGATGAGCAGATAATGCAAGTATGATCATGCAATGGTAAATCGATAATTCGATAATTCAAAACCTTAGTCAATGAAATACTATTCATAACCGTAAATACTATTAAAGCATCCCTTCTAATACGCATACTTGTGCATCCCATATGATGTAGTATAATTGCATGAATTTCATCAATACGGTAATTTTATACACGTTACCCTAATCTGGGTGTAACAAAGAAAATTCTTTTTCAAGTATATTAATGGAAACTAACAAATATATATATATATATATATAATAAAAGACCCACTCATAGATCATGTTGTTGGGTCGAACCTGCCTAGCGGGCATCAAAGATCCTTGCAATGAGTTTCACCTAGAAATGAAACCATTTATGTAAGTATGACGTACTAATGTAATTATGTGTTTTTGTACAAAGTACAACTAATAAAAGAACTATTTTAAAATGGTCAAATTTGGGAAAACGGATGACGGATTTGGATTCGGCATGTCAAGAAACCTAAGGAGGGACCTCGGGTTCCTCCACCCGCCACCGCACTCGCCACTCGCAATGGCTCCCTTACGCGTGCCTACATGCCTGCGAGTATGACAGTACTTACCTTCCTCGCGAAGGCTTGCATTTTGCAGGTTTTTGGTCCAACATCAGGAGCTCCAAATGAACTCAAATCTCAGTCATTTTTAGTGATTTAAAAACCAGAGTAAAGCTAGGAATGTGAGGAATCATTTTATACCTATTGGGAGACCAATTGTGGTCGGATGGCCATGGTTTTGCTTTTCCAGAAAACTGGGGAAAGCCTCCAATTCATCCTCATAGTCTCCAAACCCTACCAAAACAAGTGCAAAACCCTAAAATCTTCCACAAACATTAAAAAGGAATAGAAAAAAAGTGTTCCTGAGGCCTACCTTGGTTAGAATCGATGAGAACTCATCGAAGAAGATGATGAACAGTGGCAATAGCCACTGTGCAGTGTAAGCTCCATGTCTGGGTTTGATGTTCACAATCTGAGCTTAACAAAGATGGGGAATAACAAGGTGTGGTAGGGGTTTAATGGTTTGGCTTGCTGGAGTCAGTGAGTGATGGTGGTGCAGTGCACAACAACACTAGTTTTCACAGAAGGCGAGAAAGTTTGAGATGGGGAAGAGTGGAGTAATGGCAGAGAAGGAAAACATGGTGAAGGTGCCGGCTTGCCATCGTGGTGAGTGGTGGCTCACCTCACTACCAATCAATGTTGCAGGCAGAAGAAAGAGCTAAGGGAGAAAGAGGAGTTAAGAGAGGAGAGAGAGCTAAGAAGGTTAAAGAGAAAGAGGTGAGTTGGCAGCCAGAGAGTGGAGGAAGTGAGGTGAGGGAGAGTTGAAAAAAAAATGAGATAGTCCCGAGAGATAAGGGACACTGGAAAGAGGTGGAGGAATTAGGCGTGGGCCCCGCGTGGTACACAGCCTAAGGCCAAAAAGACAAAATCAAATTATCTCCCGAAAACGTGAAATTACTAAAACGCCCATCACGCTCCATAGTTTGTAAAATCTTCATCGTATGTGTTTGTACCATCAAGTACTTCGAGAATACAATAAAATAGTAGCTCATACACGTAGCAAAAAGACAGTCAACAAAAGTCAACAATCTCTCCTCTAGGAGCATTATCGTCAATTCACTCTTTTAAAATTAATAAAATCGTAAAATTAGGGACGGGTTGTCACATGAAACCAATGGGTACATTTAATCATGATTGATGAGTATTCAAATGTGCAGATTTTGTAGGTAAAGGGTACAATATTGTTTTCCTTATGGGTCCATTTCCTTAACTACTCTTATTTATATGGGTACATTATAAAAGATTTGGTACTTTCTAAAAAAAAGCAATAATAGAATTATCATGAATTTAGATGAAGATAAGAATTTTGTATTTCTATGATTACATTGAATTCTGGCAATTAATTATGATAACTGAGGAAGAAATTAATTACCTTGATAAGAATACATTTTTTAATTTAAGAACAAAGAATGTGACATAGAAATCTATTAATACTAATAATATTGCAGTTTCAAACAATGATATTAGTGGATAGGAACGGCATTCAAAGTCTTCCAAAAGCAAAATCAATTGGGGTAAGAAAATTCTCTCATTCCCCTTAAAAGAAATATAATTAAAACAAGATAGAAGACTAGATTTTTTTCCATCAAAATAAAAAGCTACGTTTTAGGGTGCTATATTCAATTTTTTCTACCAAAACAGCCTATAAAAACAACTGCAATAAGGCAGACATATGATTGAAGAAGATCAGTAGCAAATTTTTTTTTTTTTTTTCAAAAAACGATAAAATGGGCTCCAGCTTGGTTGTTCTATTTGTTTGCTTAGTGTTTTTGCTAGTGGCACTTTCCAGAGTTCTAGCTCAGCAAAAAATTTTCGATGTGACAAAATACGGTGGCATTGGTGATGGAATAACTGATAATGTCAAGGTAATTTTTATCTTAATTTAAGATAATTATAAGTTTTCATTTAACATCTTGATTTAATAATATTTGTTTTCATTTGTAAGGAAGATGTCTAAGATTCGACTCCTGTAAAATTCTATATAATTAGCTAGATTATTATTATATTTACTAAACACTAAAATCTAATAATATTCTTCTTTATTTGTAAGTAAGATGAACTTAGATTCTATATAATTAGCTACATTCTTACCCCTTTTTGTTTATCTCTAGGCTTTCACCGATGCATGGACTGTAGCTTGCCAAAATAATGGGGGTGGTGTGGTCTTATTCCCACCCGGAGTATACTTGCTGAGCCCGTTGGTTTTGAACGGTAAATGCAAAGGACCAATCGGAGTTCAGATAGAGGGGACTCTACTGGCGCGGGTGGAGAAGGAATATTCGGTTGATATTGACCATTGGATCACCTTCAAATATGTTGACAACTTCGTAATCAACGGTGGTGGTTCGTTGAATGGGCAAGGACCTTCTGCTTGGCCCTATAACGACTGCAAGAAAAATCCACATTGCAAACGACTTCCCTGTGTAAGTTCTTGCATCAATTACTTGCTTAGTTTGTTCGTATATATTATGGGCTTGCATGGGCAGTGGTGGAGCCATTATATAACAATAGGGTCATGATAAGTAGGTGTAAAATTAAGTATATTTTTGTTTATAGTTTGTCCACATAGTAATATCGTATTTTTTGTTTATATGTAAAGCGCTAAGAAAAAGTAAAAGAAACATCAAGCACCACACATGGCAATAAGCCACGAATCAAGAAGTCAATACATCCAGGAAATATGTAGTCAAGGACAGAAGTGGAAATTAGAACACGAATTGTTTTTGGTCAATTAATAAGAATTTGAGTTAAGCACATTGTAAGGGACAGAGGAAATCTGAATTAAGAAGAAGATGCAACACAAAAGAAGAAGATAGAGGAAAGAAAGAAGAAAATTGAAGCAGCAGCAGCAGAGAGGAGCTCATTGAGAAACAAAAAGCTAACCTACAAACCATTTCTTTCCCAAACCGGTAGGGGTCAAGACAAAAAAACAAGAGGGAAAACATTGGGTTATTGGGGTCAAGTGAGTTCAATGACCCCAGTGTGGCTCCACTAGTGTGCATGGGCAATGTGAACCTCATTCACTTCCCATGCAGACTTAGTTGATCATTTTATGGTTTTCTAATACAAGATTGATGGAGGTATGTATTAGTATACTAAAATACGATAACGTCGTGTGATCATTAATCAGTTCACCAAATATTATGTGAAAATTATTATGCGGTACTAAAATGCCATAACCTTTCATAATCATTAATTAGTTTACGCGTTTTAGGATATAGTCTCAGATTATGAATAAATATTTATTTATGTCATAACATATGGATATATTATACTTGCGTATAATAACCAAACTCTAATGACCTACATTCCTCATCATTAAGGGTTCATAAACGTTGTTAGAAAATTTGAGCTTCTTACCATTACTCCTAATGCTGATTGTTAATGCTTGTGGTTCCCCTTTTTTTCCAGAGTTTGAGATTGGATTACGTCACAAATGCAAGGATAGATCACATAACATCGATCAACAGCAAGAACCTCCACATCGGCCTTTTCGCAAGCCACGACATAACAATTAGCAGCATCAACATATCAGCCCCCGCTAACAGCCCCAACACCGACGGAATCCACCTCGGTTTGTCACAAAACATCCAAATCTTGGACGCAGCGATCGCCACCGGCGATGACTGTATAAGCTTCGGCACTGGAACAAACAACGTCAACATCAGCGGCGTTCACTGCGGTCCAGGCCACGGAATAAGCATCGGAAGCCTTGGCAAGATAGTTGGTGACAATGTTTCTTTTGTGGACATAAGAAACTGCACCTTCTTTGGTACTCAAAATGGAGTGAGGATCAAAACATGGGCTCCCTCTGAACCAGGCCTTGTGTCACATATTACCTTCGAGCAAATTCAAGTCGATCAGGTCAAAAACCCCGTCATCATCGATCAACAATATTGCCCTTCTCGTATTTGCGATCCAGAGGTACGTAATCGCTAATAAGTACTTATGTACCACTGAATACAAAGTTAATATGATGCTATTGTAAGGTGGGCACAAATGAGTAATTTGCCGCTGTATTAACTTATCCATTTGTTACTGCTTTAGCGATACTGTATAATGTGATTCGTGTATAAATGTAGCCCTATACCATGATTATACGTATCGCTTTCGATGTGTGCAGGTCTACTCCCGAGTTCAAATCGAAGAAGTTCGGTTCAGTAACATTTGGGGTACTTCAATCACCCAAAATGTAGTTAATCTTAAATGTAGCAAAGCTACACCCTGTCAGAAGATTGGGTTGAATGATATCAACCTAACTTACAGCGGTCGTGAGGGACCGGCTCAATCAAGATGTTCAAACGCAGATGTCAGAATTTCTGGCCGGCAAAATCCCCCCGCTTGCACAGGCAAAGATAAAGCTTTAGGATGAACAATGCAGTTTTTCTGTATGCAAGTCTATGTACTTCTTTGTTGCATCCATTTGGTGGAAATATGAGCCAGTGAAATTGCACCAATATGTTAACTTTCAAATTCTGATTACGATTCAATACTGTAAACTGCAAGTGGCCCTTTACCACAATGGTGGAAAGGTGTTGAGCTATTACATGACGGCATAGATTTGAATCCCATCGGTGACTAATTTAACATCTAATCTAACAAAATATATCTTTTGACCAAAAAAATGAAATAAAAATACCATAAACCCTAGGCCTCGTTTGGTGTCTAGAAGAGATTTGGATTGGATACTAAACTATAGATTTGATGAATGTTAAATGAGAAAAAAAGGAATGTCAACTTGTATATCTTGTCCAAGTTAAAGGATTTGGATCCTCTCCTGAGCCCAAGGAGAGGATCCTCATGACCAAAGGACTTGGGTCGTTGGATGAAAATCTAACGGTTATAATTATTATAACTTTAAAGGAACCCCCTGTTTGTAGCCTTTAGATTTTCATCCAACGGCCCAAGTCATTTGGTCAGGAGGATCCTCTCATTGGGCTCAGGAGAGGATCCAAGTCCCAAGTTAAAAGTACAAGATGGACTTTGTCATACAGAAAACTTATCCATCTGGTACCATTTTTGTGGAAATTAAACGATAGAAATTTTAGGCTTCTCCCGAAGATAAAACGGAATCCACCTTCTGAACAAAATATGTTATTCAAGATTCATTAAATTAGCAAGTTATCAGTCCAAGGTAATTCTATACACCAAACGAGGCCTAAGTTCTTAATATACCCAGCTACTCGTGATAAACCCAAAGTAACATAGTCGAAATTGCACAAAACTGACGGAACCTATAAGTTAAAACCACGTAATAACCATTTGTATAACCTCGACGTGGATGTTTCAAGTTTAACTAATAAAGAAAGTGATTTCCGCACACTCCTTTTTTCTCTTCATGCACACCCATCTTCATTTCTAGTCTTTGAACTCGATAAATCAAAGGAAGAAAATGGGTGTGCAAACAAAGAAAATGGGTGTGCGGGAAATCATTTCCCTTCAACTAAAACTAATGACTAATGTAAACCAAAAGGCTTTCTGGACAAAATTAATAGCACATGAACGTTTTTCTTTACATAACTAGGAAACCACGTGGACCATTTGTGGTTTTCTTAAACTCTTAATTAGGCTTTGTTTCTTCTTTAAACTCGTCAACTTCTGAAAGTAGGAGATATGGAAGTAGCACCACACGCTCGGTAAGAATGACTTTATAACAACTATAAGTAAGATTTTGTGGTACATAATTTGATTACATTCTTACCGGTATAGAAAGTAATAATGGTCACAAGCTGCATATGAAATGACAAGCAGAGTGACAATTAATGAGTATTTACCAGGATCCATAAACATGTAGAAAAACATGAACGCATCAAGGCAGGGGTTGGAAGATACTAATCTGTTTGCTTCTTTGGGTACTCCCTAGGGCCAAATATGGTGGATCCGATTCTGACATTGGTGCTGCCCATTTCAATCTGCAAGGATTGAGAATGCTAACGGTTATGAGCAAAAACTCTGCATAATGTCTAGCTCATTTAAGGTTTAAGAATTGCAGCAGAGCCTTTAATGAACATATGAGAAAGGGAAAATGCATGTCTTAGATGTTTTGGACCACCGTTTGGAAAATACGAGTTGCTGTTTCTTTGAAGTTTAACAGTACAGGGCATTTCATACCGCTTGCTCAAAGTCACCAGACATGCCCATTGACAGCTCACAGTGCTCCTCTGCCATAGCAAGTGCCTTGCAGACCTCAGTTCTACACTTTGATAGCATCTACAGAATTACAAGATAACAAATTAATCGACAACAAAAAACACGAGAACACAAGAAATATCAAAAATAAAAAGTAGATAAATGAAACTAATCAGTAATGGAACTTTCTAACATTAAATGGATATTTTATTGGTCCTTGTAGCCAAGGTGATACCATTGACCATGTGAAACCAGTACCTCTCTCCTTTAACAAGCAAAGGTCTCAAGTCCAACAACAATGAGGACTTGGATATGAGAGGGAAAAGGTGTCCTCTAAATTGCTTAGTATACACTTTACCATTTCTACCAAGAGAAAACAACCTTAGGGTATGAAATGATTTAATTCTGTTTTAGCTTTTAAGTATATATCAATGGAATTAAGAATATAAGGAAAGAACGAATTTAAAGCACATGAACTTTGTTTGTGATACAGAACCCAATTTGAATGCTCTGAGAAAAAAGAGCTAAAGAATGCCTTTGTAAGCAGTTTCCATGCACCCCACTATGCAAGTACAAAGATTACCCTGAAGTTTTCTGGAGTGGATGTATAGTCCGGCATCCCTATGGTCATTAAGCCAGAAAACTGTAGATTTGGGCACTGAAACTTGACGTGTTTCGCAAGTTCAACACAACCAGAAGGATGAATTCCAGATTTCGCTGCAAAAAATATTGGAAAAAAACACGAGGTAGGTGAGGTGGGGAAAATTTGAATTTAACCCAGCATTACTGGCAATAGAAATTCAATTCAGTAGCTAGAGAGAGCATGATCTTTCTTTTTGCAAGTGACCAACTATAGAAATATCATGACTGCAGATGGTTTTGGTGGCTGCCTTACAAGCAGCTGCGTAAAAATTAAATTATTGAAAACCAGGCTAAGTGTCTTCCAGGTTCCGATTGGTATAGGACATGTTAAGAAATCGAGACATGAGATGATATAATTGGTAAACTTATGTAGTCGTCTCTTGCAATGAAATATCATGTGTCGCATTTATCTTAGACTAGGAACCAAAAAATCAGAGAGAGTTGTAGGCTTTTATGCAGCTAAAAGGGGGAGCAGGGACTGAGATTCAAGCAACTTTCAATGCCTCTGATTTATATTAATGCTCAACCAAACAACATGACAGATTAGTGCAGGAATGAATGATGATTTTGAATCACTCACATTCTTCTCCACTGGTATTTACTTGGACCAAAACCTTTAAAGGATTTCTTCCAAGGTTTGACACCGCTCGATCAAGATGATTTGCAAGCTGCAGATTATAAAGACACATTATCATTGTGAGTTGTAACACAAGCATAGCATCTCTGGAATGACTAATCAACCGAAAGATAGTAAGGTTTTGTGACATTTTTAGCAATTTGGTTATTAGTTAACACAAGTATATGAATTTCCTTTAAAAAAAAAAAACCTGCAGCTCGGATCAATTACCTTCAGAAAATAAAACATACACTGGACTTGTCTTTACCTTCTCATTGTCTACACCTTCAACCAAGGCCAAATTCGGGACTCCAGCTGCATGCAGTTAATGTAAATACAATCACATTCTCAAACAGCTAGATTAGTCACAAACATTCCTCAAAACAATACACAAAACGGATTTGAAATTAAAATGCAATATCTGAATTTGTAATGACATGATCCAATGAGTGACCAAAACCGTGCATTTCTTATTTTCGCTGGTATAACTCAACGAGTCATTTGAAAGTTTAAGCTTTAATATTTTAATTTAAAATCTCTCTATCCAAAAGGAACCAAAAAAATTCAATCACAATATTCAAAGTAAGTCCGACAGCCAACTCTCAAAGTTTGAAGATATACGAAATTCGAAATACCAGCAAAGGTAAACAAAGGAATTAGGGTTCATTCGTAACAGCTGAAGATTTTGAAAAACATTGCAAGAAAATGCTTTAAGAAAAGCAGAACATCGTAGCTTTTTTCGAATTATCAAAAGTTGGGTTCTTTGCAAATTACCAAAAAATGGAAAGCAAAAACAAAATCATACCCAGAAGCAATTTAGCCTTGTTGGTCTGCAAATGCCCAACGAAATGCCACTCTATGTCATCAGGAAGCTGCAGACACACACACGTTCATAACAGTTAAACGCCGCCGCCGTTTGAACTTCGGATAGTTGCAGGGAGTGTCAGATCTACAGAGAGAGAAAAACTCACCTGAGGAGCTTTTTCGAGGATTTCCTGGACGTAATTCTCGCCAAAACAGCGGTGGCCGAAGTTGTACACTTGGCGGATGAGAGAAACGGGCTTGGTCTTCGACACCGCAACCACCCTCACCAGAGCCGGATCCCGACCCGACCGCTCCGCGGCCTGCCGGACCCGGAGCATGACTGACCGGAGCGCCGAGACGCCGGCGTTTTCGACAGCGGAAGCAGCCATGCCGAGGGTGTTTCGGAATCTGGACCGTTAAGCTGTGAACAGAAGAAGTGTCAAGATGTGCGGTGGTGTTGGTGAAATATGAAAATGATAAACCAGAACATTTGGGTTTTGTTCTTGCCGCACCTCAATTGTGGTCTCTATGCACCGAGAAATTTGACAAAAATACCCTTTTGGTAGACATGTTTCACTCTCTTCATTTGACGGGATTCACCTCCAAAAGATGTAAAACGGTAAGACAATTTAAAAAACTAGCCAAAATTTGCATCATCAATAGAATTTTAATCAACCATTCTAACTTTTCAGAGTTATAACCAAAACAATACATTAAACTACTATAACATCCTTTCTTAACTAATATAATTACAAAATTATATCTTCTGCTTTGTGCAGTCTTTCTCTCCCGATAATTTATGTTAGCCCTCTTCTCTGAGAACTCTTTTCAATTTTTTCTATTAAGTACAACGCCTACCCAGCTACCAGTGGCAAAGCTACGTGAGGGCGAGGAGTGGTGGCCGCCCCTCCCCTAGCCGGAAAACATGCCTAGGAGTGCTCTTTCAGACCCTCCGCTCTCGTCGGAAATGAGAATTCCCACTCCGGTGATCTGGTTTCTGTTGTTGCGTGGGAGACCGTCTTCAGCAATAGCCGTCGTTCAAGAGAAGGACGACGAGTCAGTCTTCCCGTAGAAAAGAGTGAGTGGAGGTGGGTCGCCGGAGGAGATAAGGATTGGTGGCGGGTCGCAATGAAATTTGGTTGTTTGTCCATATTTGAAAAAAAAATTGGGTCCCCGTCTCCTTCTCCAACCTCTCCTTCGTCAGCACTACTTCTGTCTCCTCGTCCGACCTAGATTTCCCATGGCTCTGTCGTGCTCCCACCGGTATTTGGTGAGTGAAAGGTTTGAGGGAGGTGTTTGGTTAGTGAGAATTCATGGCAAACAAAGGATATTGGTTCTTTGTTTTATTTAGGGTGTGGTGAAGAAAAACCATAGTAGAGGGGAGGGAGAAGATGGTTTCGCCGGAGACGATTGGTGTTGCGGTCGCCGGGAAGAAGGTTGGAATCAATTGAAAAATAGAAGTCGGGAAGAGGAAGATGATGAGTGTTTGGTAACAAAGGTAGTAAGTGTTTTGGGAGATTTCAGCTATGACAAGTGGACTACTTTTATTGGGCCACTTCATAAGTTCAGTATAATGGGTACTCACTAGATAGTACCCAAGTATTATCCCTTTCTTTTCTCTCCTGGTCCCACCTCTTTTTTGTGGTTTGTTAATTAACTCATTTTTTCTCCTTTTTTTTTAATTTTTTTTTAATTCTTGTATGTATTTTTATCTTCTTTTTTAAGAGTCCTACAATATTTATCTTAAACTCTCATAATATCTATAAATATTGTATTACTTTTTAAAAACAATGTAAATATTGTTTATGGCTTATTTTACGATAATTTAAATCCATCTAGGCTCTCGTTTAGATTTCGCCTAGGCTTGTTAGGTCTCAGTCCGCTGTTTGACTAGTGCCTAACATTTTTTAGGATCTAATCCTAACCAATTTAAGCTTCTTACATTGGCTTTGATATTATTGCTTACAACCGTTTTGGTAGAGAGACTATTTTTTGCTATGAATATTGACTCAAAACTTTGCACTCCCTAATGTGAAAACAACCGCTTCGATTGAACCTTGCACTCTTTTGAATTTCACCCCTCCCCTCGGCAAATCCTAGCTTCGCCACTACCAGCTACCACGAACACCCCAACGATGAACCTATAATCCACTCACGCAGCCTTTCGTTTTGCATATAAACAAGGCATAAAGTGGCTAAGTTATTAAAGTTGCAATCATATAATTTGGTAAATGAAGATATGGTTGGTGGTGAGGGGTATTGGATTGTCAGCCAATACCTTGCGTAATGCGATTTGATGGAAAGCTAGGTTTCTTGAGTGAGAGTTTTACAGAAATTTCATGCTTTTGGGGTAATTTTTTTGTTCTACTATGATTGATCAAGAACTTGTTAAGACAAAGTGGGAGTGGATCTCACCGGGGAAAGACGATTAGGACTAGAGAACATAAGTTGCGAAAGTTTCAGTCAACAAGGTGGTGCTTAAGTACTTTTATGTCAAAATTTGGTTAGAGTTATCACAAGAAAAATAATTGACTAAAATTCTACTCATGGTCCAAATTTAATTTCCCAATGCGAATATGTATTTTTATTTACATTTTCTGGTCAAAATGTAAATTTTACATATTTACATTGGAGAAACTTTCAGCCAACCAAAAATTGTTAAATGCCTATTCCCTAGGAACCAAAAAGACATTTGCTCTTGTTTTTAAAATTTATAGAACTTTGCTTTTTTTTAGTATAAAATGACCAGGGATAGCCTTAAGGATAGCCGAAGTAGGCACTCGCACCTTCACTCCTAAGGGGCTCCCATTTTTTTTTACAATTTGAATTGAATAAAAATATCAATAGAAGTGGGAGCAGCTTCACTCCAAAGGGTCTCCTACTTTTATTGATTTCAAATCTAAGAAACCAAAGTGATGAGTTATGCAAATCTCAGGGACCATTTTGGCTAAAAAGTCAAAATAATATCATAGGCAATAATATAATTTTTTACAAAAGAATTTTACTATTTTCTTCTTTTCCTTCACCCACATGTAACTATAGTTTTACTCTTCCAAATCTAATTAAAATTTAAAAATCAAAATGTCAGTCTTTTTTCTCGACAGAACCCCAATCGCTTTCTCTCTTTATTTTCATAAAAACTATTGCCCTTCTCTCTCGGTCTTCATATGGTGAGTATTCTGATATTGATTGGGAAAGACTTATTTCTAGACCCAAGAATCTTGAAAGAAGCTTTACCGAAGGAAATAAATCGGATTGCAGAAGTGTTGAAATATTTGAGACAAATAGATGGTTGTTTCTCAATTGCATACATTGCTTATAGAATTTTGTTAACCATACCAGTTATAGTTGCTTTTGCAGAAAGAAGTTTCTCAAGAAAGATTGAATGGATTAACAATGTTATCTTTTTTTATTTTTTTTATGAAGGATAAACTATTTTATCAATTGATAAAGAATTAGTTGAAAAATTAGATTATGTAAACTTAATTAGTACATTTATGCCAAAAAACGTGAGACATGTAATATTTAAATAATATTTGTATATATTTCTTCTTTTGACGTTAATTTTTTATGATATTTAATGTAAAAATAGAATTTTTTTTTCTTCTTCATGTATTTAGTGAATTCTTTTATATATATATATATATATATATATATATATATATATATATATATATATATATATCAATTTGCAAAGGATCGGAAGGTCAAAAATATTTGAGCCTCACCTCACTTCAAAGGCTTGCAAATTTTCAAGGCCCAGCCTGAAAGTGACTTAATAACCCTAAGAATTAATAAGAATTAAATTGTTTCATTCACTCATGAAATGAGGAGTGTTAAACCCACCCCATTTTCTTATTTCCCCACCCCAATTAAATGCGAAAATTCCATTGACAATTATGTCCTTTTAGAGAATGACAATAAGGACCTAAACAATAACCAATTGTATTTTGTCACGTAATCATTAGATTTTTTTCATTAAAAACTAAAATAGCAGAAAAAGAAAAAAGGAAAAAAAAATTCAGAAAACCACCACCCCGTTCTCACTATTATAACCACGACTAGTGCACAACCACACGCCTCCCTCACGGCGGCATCGATGACGGCTACCTTTTCTTCAACTCCTCCCTTTTCCTTTTCTCTCATGACAATGTACGATCTCGATCCAATTCCGACAGTGAAAGAGATTGTGTACAGAGAAGGAAGAGGGGTAAGCCCATGGAGGTGGGCATTTTTGAGGCTATGGTGGTGCTGCGAAGGTTGGATGAGGTGGAGCCTGGCTGGGTGTTGGTGCGGCTGCTGTATTGGGGATCATGGTGCAGATGGGGTTCGGAGGTATGTTGCTTCGATGGTTTTGGAATTGGGATGGTTAACGGATTGTTATCATTTTTTTTGTCAAAGAGATATATAAACACATATGTATCCTATATATTCTAATGAGAAAATTAGAATTAGATGCCTTATTTTAGACTTTTGTAGACTAAACATTTATGTTTTTTGAGTTTTTGATTAAATTTTTGAAACATTTGATTAAGATACTCAGACTTGAACTATTTTAGATTAATTAAAATTAATTTATATTTAAATATGTATTTTAAATAAATTCAACTATATTTAACTCTAAAAATTTAAACTTTTCAAATCTAAATATACACCCATACCAAATGGAAACATACCAACATTAAATGAAAGCATATCAACGTCAAACGAAAACGTACTAATCCCGAATTAAAATGTATCCAATTATAAACTATATGAAAATGAATATTCATCTTTTTGGAATGTTTAAAAATATGTTTGATTCATACACAATGCTCTAAATAGTCTTGTTTTTTGGTAGATAAGTCTCTGGAATAACTTTTAGTTGATCAGAGATAAATCCTTATTATTGTACATAATGCTAAATAATAAGACTAAATCATATAATTTTGAATTAACAAAAAGGCAATTGTCCATTTATTAATGACTCTTTCAATAAAAAAAAATTAATTAAAGTAATTTAAACTTTTACATTGTTAACGACTCTTTCTATAAGGAAAAATAATAATTAATTAAAGTAATTCCTTATTATTAGGACAAAAAGTAATAAAACTTATGTTTTGAAAACAAACGTACCAAAAATTCAAATGTACCAAAAACTAAATATACCAAAAATTCAAATGTACCAAGAGGCCAAATGGACCAAAAATTCAAATGTACCAAATAACTAAATATACCATTATAATCAAACGTACTGATATAACCATACGTACCTAACAACGAGTTTTGTTACATTCTATTTAATTTACTAAAATAAATATTTTAATAAAAAATAAAAAATCTTAAATCATCATAATAAGAGATGCATAAAAATAGGAAGAAAAAAGGGAATGCTAACATGACACACCTCGACCGAAATCAAAGTGTGTTGGCTGTCACGTGAGAGTGATGTAACCATGTGCACAGTGCGGAAGCAATAATAATAATAGAAATGCGAATAAATAAAAACAAGTTACCAACGATACTAGCTAAGAAAAGGTACTAGTGCGAGATTAAGTGTGAAATACACAATCAGAGCATAAATAGCCTAAGTGCAGTGCGACTGGAAAAGTTCTAATTAAACAACACCCAAAGGTGATCCTACATTTGTGAATTCTGTCAGAACCACCACTGGAAACCTCGTAAGCCACCAATGATAACTTCTACCTAGAACCTGGAGGGGTGCAAAACAGAAAATGTGAGTAGGCAAAACAAAACTTTTCAAAATCATTTCATTTCTCAAAAGTTCTAACCCCTCACCGTAAAACCTATATAATTTCCCAGAAAATATAATATATTCGTATCTCAAAACCATGCTCAACATGCTTTAATCATAAATATGTCATGCCAAATATCTCAATATGACAGAATAAGTAACTCAGGTAAAATAAACCAATGCAGAATAACATATCAGCCAGATCCACCTAAAGTGGTATGTACGATTGAACTACTAGCTCATACATCATGCCTGCACACGAGTCGGAACCACCTATAGCGGTCTATACAACAGGACTGGGTGTAAATAAATACGCTCAAGTGCTACAATCACGTGAAGACTATGTGAATAATCGCGGGTCACCTATGAGTCGGAACCACCTAAAGTGGTCTGTATAACAGGACTGTGCACCTAACTTGGATCCAAGGTGAGCGTATGGTACGGGAGGTGAACATCACGTGAAGGACTGTGCCCTAACTCTAGGCGGGAGCACTAACACCAATGTGCAGGTTTATGAGCTCTTAACATATCTCACATAAACAGTAATTAACATAAATAATTTACAACTCACCGGGTATTTGCCTGAGTGTCCACAACGTCAAATCACATTTATGCATACTATATTAAATCAATGATCTATATATAAATCAATATGCATGGCATTTCTAAACATAAATTCATTTAAATCGATTTTTTGGGAAAAATCTTAATTATATAGGTATATATGGAAAATCAAAAGCCCACTCACTGGTATGTGGAAGGGTCGTAGCCCCCAAGCCTCGAATGAATGCGCTCGTCCTGAGGATAGGTCTCACCTATATGCAAAACAACTATAAAAACGTTAATTTAAAGTACATAAACAAAACTAGCTAATAACTTCTCAAACATTGCTTCAATGGGGTGTTTGAATATACCAACGTGATCTACTCAACACCACGAACATCCCTATATTTTTAGAAAAAATTTTCGACCACTCACTCGCTGGCCATACGCAGGCACGTGCCTGACACACTCACGGAAACCCTAACGGCGTTAGGAATATTCCGTCCAAAAATGGAATATATCGTTAAATATGCGTGACACTGTTAGTAACGCCATTAGTATATTTCGTCAAAGTTGATGGAATATTCTTCGTCTTCTATGATGATGCTCGCCGGAGCAGCTGCCGATCGCTGTCTGCGTCGCCGGAAACTGGAAAAACTTCAAAACTTCATATCTTCTTTATTTTTCAACCAAACTTCACGAAATTTAAACCAAAATGAAGCTTAGGATGAAAGGAACAAAACCTTGCCACTTTCAGGATCTAAATCTCGCTAAAACTCGCTGGAAAAACTTCGAAACTCTGGCCACCTTTACAACTCTTTGAACTAGGACTTCCTGACATCCAAAACACTTCCTTTTTCTTCTTCGAGCTTTATGAAGATGTTCTAAAGCTCCCTTGAAGCTTAAAAACTTCTAAAAACTTTACTATCACGATTGCATGACCAGTACCCAAATCAGAGCTCACGAGAAACTAGGGTTTTCAAAGGTTTTAAGTCCAGACTTTTATTCCAGTCAGGCCTGGCATTTGCGTCGTTTTTGTGACATACCCCAGATCTTAACGGTCGTGTCGTTTAACACCCATTAAAGTAAACGAGTAATATGACCCGATCCAAAATCGACTTGTTAATATTATCAGGTAATATGACCCAACCCATTACCCGTTAAGAAAATTAGATTTTAAATCAATAAATTATGAAAATGAAAAACATAATTTGACCTCAAAAATTGAAGACATAATACTAAATTTGTATATGTATATCACATTGTCACATAAATATTACTTCAAAACATAAAAATAACATTTGTAAGCACTACATACCCCAAAATAAGAGTCTAATAAAAAAAAATTAGTACATTATTACAAAATGCCAAATGTTCAAGGATATGCAAAATGAAAGGAGTTGCATTTCAATGTTGATGAAACCTTGCATGTTTTACACAATAAAACTCTTCAATTTTTATCAATCACCAAGGGAAATGATTTTGGTTTATTTTGAACTCCCTTAAAAATACTATTCATGAGGGTTTGTATGTTTTTAAAAATTCAAATGACGATGTATAATCATATATTCCATAGTCAATCATAACCAATAGATTGTAACTTGGGTACAAATATATACCACATTTAGTATAATTTCTCACAGAGGTGAGACTCACTTGCATATTTGAATTTCATCTTAGGTGAATTTCATGTTATTGTTTGGCATCTTAATTACGTACCGTTCTGAGGTGATGCTGGCGATGTCCAATGCTAAGACCGCGTCCTGTGGTCATGTTTATAGTCTCCGTGCTATCCACATTCTGGAGAGAAGTGGAATGCATCTTAGGCTCCATAAGAGCATCATCAGCCTCAAACCCTACTTGCCATACATGGTTCAACTTCAAAATATTGTACGCAGCTGGATCCGGTGGCAAAATTAGCGTTGCGAATATCGACTTGTACCTCCTAGGCTTCACTTCACCTTTCATGTTCTTGACAATAACATCATCAAAATTTTGTGAAGGCTTAAGCCTACAACCTAGCTTGGTGTCACTGGTGATGTTGTATTTTCTGACTGCCAACGTTCCATTAGGCTGTGAAATGCCTATAACAGCCCTGGTCCCGACCATCTCTGGCCTTTGGGGACCTGGGTTCACACCCCATGCTATCCATTTTGCAGGCGGTCTAATGGTGAACAAGATGTTGATTTCGGTGTTGCTGTGAATGTTCCACCCGAATTCTGCTCCTAGAGTGACTAGTTTCTTGCAGTTTGTAATGTTCATGGGATTGATGGGGCTACAGTTGGAATATTGCTCAGAAATTGGGAAAAGAAGTGAGGAGGAAACCGTTAATATGATCAGAACTACAGAGTTGGTAGTGCCCAACATGTTTGACTAGTTTCCTAAGGTTAACGTTTCAGGATATATGATATGTACTTATGAGGAGAAAGCTTTTCACTCTTCTTTTTTAATTCATTTGTAAATTTGGGTGAGATTAAAGAAGAAGTCAAGAATAGTTTTTAATTTTATGCTCTTTTTACAGCTTGTTAGGGTCATATCACAGGTGCTGTCGATGTGAGAAATTGCTTTCTTCATGAGCAACCCAGCCACTTTTCTATTTTAGCTGTCAGAAAGTTGTGTAATATATGTTTTCATCGACAAAAAATAAAAATATGTACTTTGTTGCTTGTCTAATGCTTCGACAAATGTTCTCATCTACGGTCGAGTTCTTGAGGGCGAAGTTAATTTTGTTCATTTTAAACTTAACAATTTAAATTTGTTTGTTGATCTTGTTCTTGTTCAACCAGCTAGCTGGGTACGTATAAAGGCCATGATAAGTCTTAAGTATAGTTGTGCTTACGGGGGAAAATAGGGACTAGTCGTGGAGCCCGTTATACATCAAATTTCAATGATCCAACTTGTTTATTTTTTAAGTCTTTATTTATAGATCATTGAACTCAGTTAGATGTCTAAAGCATTTCCAATTTGACTAATATTTTGCAAAGATGATCTATAAATTGCAACTTGAAAAATAAACGGTTTAGATGATTGAAGTTCAGTGTAGAGGAGGTCCCACAGGGCCACAACTAGTCCCTATTTTTACCAAAAATTGGAAATAGGCATTTCAGCCTCTCTCTAACCACAAATAAATTAAAAAATTTATTGACTAGTGTAATTAACTTCTTTTTATCTAATTTATTAGAATTCTTTCTCATACCGTCAAGGTCATAAATAAATTAAAAAAAAAATATTGATTGTTATTATTCTATAAACGGAAAGAACTACATATCTAACAAACCTCATTCCTATCAAGTTATTACTGCTTAACATTGACTGAATTGAAAAACTAAATGTTGCAGAAATGAAGCTTGAGAATAAGAAGAGAAGATGGAGTAAGCATCAGAAGAAGAAGAGTTCTTGAATTAATGGTGTAAACAGACAATTACAACAGTACATATATTTATACAGTAGTAACTACCCTGCTTCTGTGTTAATCCTATCCAATCCGCCACCTTATTACAACATGGCACTCTCATCTAAAGATAACCAATATACAAATGGCACCGTGACTTAGTTATATTTGGTTATTAGTTACAAGGTGTATTTATAAACACCTAATTCTAAACAAACAAGAAAACAATAACCCAAAAACATAAAAAGCAAGTAATCATAATTCTTATGCTACTAACAAATTCTAACACATAAGAAAAAAATACCCTAAAATAAAATAACACCAAATTATTAACTTTTTCATCACTTTCAGTCAAATTCATGATGATTAACAACATAAATTTACCAAAAAGAAAAGTGATGCTAATTGTTGAAGATGACTTGTCAAATTAAGAGAAAGACCGGTCAAGACTCAAGATACTGTGCCATCCAACGGGTAAAATATAGGAGGAGGATTCTTTCCCTCCTTATCTCTTTTCCTTCCTTTCTATTTGAAAGGTTGCGATTAAACCACGTTATATTGATATTTTTATAAAAATATTAAGATAAAAAATAAATATGAGAGGAAGAGAGGAAAAGAGATGTGAATAAGAGGAGAAAAATCATACTCCAAAATTAAGTTCACAATGGACGTAAAAAAGTTTTGAATTTATGAGCTAGGGTACTATGGAAAATCCCGAAATTAAAGCTAGAAACCATTATGGCATCGTACTTTATCGCTGCCCATTAGTTGAAGGCAAATTAAAGATCCAAAAAAGGAGAAGTTAATGAAGATGTTGTGCAAAGTACAATAGATCCCCTAGTGGCCAACCACTACAAGAAGGAGCGCCAGGTGTACCGTATGAACCACAGGAAGTAAGGTCATCTCTAATGGAGAGAACTAAAAGGCCAAGCGACAAAAAATGATCTGATTTGTCTGAAAATTCATCTTCAATCGATGATTGTGCTATAATTCTATAGAGCTCAGCAGGCTATTATTTGGCCAAAGGGGCATCAGGCTGGCTAAACGTAGCCCCCCTTTCTTCTTAACTCATTTTTTGGGGCCAACTCCTCAATTGCAATAATTTATTCAAATTTAACAGCTAGATTTGAAAATGTTCAATGGTAATTAATTGAATTAGTCAATAATTTAAAGTACAAACTAAAAACTAATTGAGGAGGTTATATTTAGCCCTTTCGGTTGATGACGATTTATGAGTATGACGTGACATTGTTTATTTAAAATAATTTTTTGCATGACTATAATTCTGAACAGTGCTATAGTTAGCCCTTCGATCTCAGTTGGAGATGGCCTAAGGGGCTGTCCGCACTTTTGCCATGCAAACATATATGTTGTTAATGTTATGCATATGCATAACAATATACAAATAAAAGAGCTCTTATTTTCCGACCAAAAAAAAAGAAACAGAAAGCTCGTGTTTCATGTTTTGCCCCATATATTCTTTAACCAAGACGGACGAAAAGAAATTATCTTCGCCCTGGCTTTACAATAACACTCGAGGATCTTCCCAGAATTTTAAAAATATTTTTGTTGACATCCTTTGTTCTTTGATTAAGTTTCTAATTATTTGTTTCTTTAATTAAGTGTTTTATGTTGTATCAAATAACTATTGTGGTTTTTTTTTTTTTTTTTTTTTTGGTTGAAAAAAGTTTAGGGGGAGAGAAGGCTAGGGACAAAGTATACTACAAGTCATTTTTAGTACGTACAAAGGGAGTCTTGGCACTTTTTTTTGATTTTATAGATCTCCTATTAAGGAGGATTGCTGCAGGCGCAGTGCAACTCGAACATAAGCCCTTGGTCTAGCAAATAAAACGATTTTTTCAACTCTATCAACCCTCTTTGACAACTGTTGTGTTTATTTGAGACATATACTGCATTGCATATTGATATAGTAGTTTCTTCGCAAATCATAGCACGTGTATTATCATTAGTGTACCAAAAGTACTAAATTCTAGATCGTAAACTCAAGATTTAATAAGCAAATATATATTGTAATTTGAGAGAATTTGATGCATCAGTTAGCTTGTGCAAATTTACGGGTCTTGACTCATTGTATGTTTGTGTTAAGGAAGTAGTATGTGGCATTATTTATTTTTTTATTTATTTTTTATTTTTTTGTAAACTAGTATGTGGCATTATTCCCATGAAACTAAATCTACTTTTGCTAACCTAAGAGTGGCCCACATATATGTGGATGGGTTGGTGGGGATTAGGCAGAAGGGCTTCCGGTTAGGCTACTCAAATATAAAACAAATCTTCATGAACATACAGAAAAGATATGCAAAGTGTGAGCACGGAAAATGCACATTGTCCACAATTGTAGAAGTAGAGTATGTAGTGGCTATTATATATTTTCAGAATTATGACCAGAATTCGTTTGTACGAAAAAGTCTTATCTCAACTTAATAAGGAGTTTCACAGTTCATATGAATCCCAATACTAAAAGAAAACTTTTAGGGCATATTTTGAATCTAAATGTGATAGTGTTTTATTTATTCATATGTATACACGTAAGATTTATGTTTGAATTCGCTTTATTTCTAACAATTAAAGGGGTAATGTTTGAGCTCCTATTAATTTTTTGACACAAAGAACTAGTGACAGATGTGAGATTCGAAATCAGAGTCTCTAATACAAAAATGAATATGCTTGTTCTATATAATTTTAGTTGATTTTTTCCATCCGTGAAAGTCAGCTTCTCTCCTCCGCGTTTTTCCTTCCAATTGTTTAACAGTCGGATGAATAACAACCTAACTATAGCTCCAAATTTAGTTATTTATTGCTGTATAGACCACTCCACTGAGATCAAGATACACGGGAGAAAAAAATCTGCATGTAAGCTTTACTATAAAAACCAACCTCCATTGTCATCCTTAATCAAACATTCCCTCCCATCTAAGCCTCTATTCGGTCTCTAGTTTCCAACATTAAACCTCTCTCTAGCAAGCCTAGCTCTTCACATTATTTCTTTCACCATGAAGTTGATTATATATTGTTTTCTCATATCTATCCTCCTCTTGTCTCCTATTCTAAGCATTGAATCCAATGACGTACAATCCCAACAATACTACGAAGATGCAACCATTGATGAGTTTTCGAATTCTCAGTTAAACGAAACTAAATCACAACCTTCAAATATGTTACGGGGGAAGCGACCGTTTTCTCTTGCCAAAACGCCGGGTGAGATTGACTTGTAACAAGGTCCCCAGGATATGTCATGCTAAGGGAAGCCCAGGGACTCATTGTTGCAAGAAGAAGTGTGTTATTGTGTTCACTGAATCACAACCTTCAAATATGTTACGGGGAAGCGACCGCTTTCTCTTGCAAAAATGCCGGGTGAAATTGACTTGAAACAAGTTCCCCAGGATATGTCCTGCTAAGGGGAAGCCCAGGGACTCATTGTTGCAAGAAGAAGTGTGTTATTGTGTTAACTGAATCACAACCTTCAAATATGTTATGTGGAAGCAACCGCTTTCTCTTGCAAAAACGTCGGGTGAGATTGACTTGTAACAAGTTCCCCAAGATACGTCGTGCTAAGGGAAGCCCAGAGACTCATGGTTGCAAGAAGTGTGTTATTGTGTTCACTGACCGAGCTAACTGTGGGAAGAAGTGCAAGTACAATTAATGAGATATGCTGCAAAGGGAAATGTGTGAACCCATCTTTCCATAGAAGGCTTTGTGGTGGTTGCAACAGTAGGTGCAAAGATGGAGGGTTTCACTAGTACAAATAACAGTTTGCACGACGAAGCATAGTTCGTCGCACAAAGTCAAAAAGCATTGCCTGAAAATTAGCCCAATGAAAACTTCGTCGTGCGCAAAGGTCATGAGGGCAGGCTTTGCGACGACAATACCTGCAATTGTAACATCAGAAGCTTGGTCGTCGTCATGGCAAGGTTGTTCGGGGTATAGGGAAAGCGTGGGTTCGTGAGATAGGTGT